AACAACTTTGTAATAAACTGGTCAACATACAGAGGTAGTCAACATAAGGCCTACTGTAGTGATTATATACATATGTATATATCCAGTCTATGAAAATTAAGTCAGCTTAAGGAGGTGGTCAACGTAGAGAAATGTCAACTACAGAAGCTCTACTATATTTATATTTCAATACATTGAAAGCCTACAAGTAATTTGAAATTTTCTAGTAACCACATTAAAAAAAGCAAAAATAAGTTAAATTAATTTAAAACCTTTTTTAAAAGAAGACAGGCAGGGGTCTTGCTTTATTGCCCAGGCTTAAGAACAGTTATGTAGTCATAGCTTACTGCAACCTCGAACTCGTGGGCTTCTTCTTCTTCCTCCCACCTCAGCCTGGGACTACAGAATGTGTCATCCATACCTAGCTAATTTTAATTTTTTTTAATAGGCTAGCGGACTCACTATGGTGCCCAGGCTGGTTTCGAACTCCTAGCCTCAAGTGATCCTCCTGATTCTACCTCCCAAAGTGTTGAGATTATAGGTGTAAGCCACCATGTTTGAATGAAAACCATTTTTATTTAATCTAATACATCAAAAATATTATCCTGTCAACATGAAACAAATATACATATTACTGACATATTTTATGGTCTTTTTCCCACTAAGTCTTTTAAATTAGTTATGTATCTTACACTTATAGCACATCTCAATGTGTATGCAAAATTTTCTATGGAAATAATAATTTGTATTTAGATATCATAAATTTACAATTAAAAAATAGTTTCACATACCTAAAGTTATTCCAAACATACTTAGAAGTTTTTCAATAAATAAGCCAAGTATCAGTTTTTAAATCCAAATTAATTAAAATTAGATATAATTTAAAATTCATGTCCTGAGTTGTATAATCCAAATTTTAAATTCTCAGCAGCAGCGTTGCTATTGCCTACTATAATAACAGCACAGGTATAGACAATAAAATTGTACTATGACTTTCACCTTAATGCCAGTCAGATATGTGCTCTGAGTTTGTTTTCTGTATACAAATACATTTATAGTAACCTATGCACATAATCTTTCCATTCCACACTGTGACCAATGTACATGTCTGTAATACAGAGGTCTAGTTTTTGGCACAAAATCTGTAGGTTATATACATATTGTGGGAAAGAATGAATCTACTAACAAGCTCTAATCCAATGAGTTAATCAAACAGAAAATACAAGTAAATATCACATATAGAATGTGACATAACATCTTACTCTAACAATCCCCAAATAACAAAATACAGACTTTCTAATAGTTCAAAACTCTTTTCTAATTTTACCTTTTGTAAGCTGAATTTCAGTTATAAGATTTGTAAAACTAGAAAATTGTCTCAGAAACTTACAGATGCTTTTAAAAGTTTTTCTACTAAATATAAATATATAAAATAGTAAGAAAAATACGAACAAAAAGAAGAATAATTAGGAGAGAATTCAATACATTCCTCCCCCATTACAAAACTTTTATCCTGTTTTTTTTTTTAATAAATAAAATGTAAGAGTTAAACACAGTATATGTGTCCTTACTGTTGTAGTCTTACCTCATGTAAAGCTTTTGCCTCCTGTAAGTTTTGTATGCTGACTTTGAAACCATAAGTATTGTTTAAAGATGGTCCATCAATCTGAGAAGTTTCCTTCTTTGGGCTAGTCACCACTGCAAACTGATTCTGTTAAAAAGAACACACATAGCCAGAAAAAGATAAATGACCAATCTTTTGATTACTTATTCCCACTTAGACAATATGCTTTATGTGTTTAGTAATAAATGATAAAACTACTATCATCTCTTCAAGTTCAAGAATGTTTAACATTCTTTGCATGCTAGTAATTCAAGATACTAGAACTGGATATATGTAGACATATCATGTATCTGATATATTCTATAAACAAACCATGTTGATCTCTGAGTTTACAAGCCCCAAATACTGAAAATACTCTTGGGAGAGTTGACATTTATAACACATGGACATTTATCTTGATCTTTGTTGGAAATAAGGAAAGCAAACAATCATTATGTTTGTAATTACTTTGGCTAAAGTTTATAAAGCTTTGAAATTCTGAATTTGTATTTTACTCTAAAACAACAT